GGGCAGTGTGATCAACCAGGAGGGCACATGTGGCGCATCTCCACCACTCACCCACACACACACACACACCCACACACACATCCACACCCACACACACACACACACACACACAAATGCACATTAACTTGTATGCAACAGTTTTGTCAATTATCATACTGTGAAAATAAAACATCCTGTACAGAGAACACGCATAACACACAGTTACTGTTTATTTGCTGAATGTAAAAAATTGGGGAAAAAAATAAAACAAAAAATGTGGCCTGTGCAAAAATAATGGCACATTTTATATTTGATGTTTCATATTTTTAATATGTTAGACTGAGCAAGTAAAGAGAAATGATGCACTAATAAATTGCAAAAAATGTCATAATTAAGTGTGTCTCTGTAGCGGATATGTCTTATTTTTTCTTAGAAAATGAACAAAACAACTGTGCATCTCTGTGTGGTTTGTAAGAATCACTGCTAATACCTGAAAAGCTATAACATCAGCTATTACTCTAAGACTGTAGTCACCAACACTACTGTTCAACAGTCTGGAATCACTTGTCATACTAATTGTTGTTGTTACTGTATTGAATAATTTCTTACGTATGCAAAAGTTTCTCTAAAATGTATTTCACACCAAACACAATTCTGGTCAATCTGCATATTCTGCTAATATGAATAAGATAACACATCTACAAAGAACACACTTAAATACAGTACTTTTTTTTTTTTGCAAATCTTAGTGCCCAATTTCTATATATTTGCCAAGTTAAACATATTGGAAAAAAATTAAATATAACATTTAATGCTTTACTTTTTTCCCCAACACATTAAATTCAGCAAATAAACAGTAATTCTGCATTTAAATGCGCAGACGTGTGTTCTCTGTAAAGGATGTGTTCACTTATTTTCACTGGTGCACCCAAACTTTTGCATACGACAGTATAGTGCAGACTGAAATGCTATAAGCTGGACACCAGAGGGTATTTTAAGATGTTTTATTCAAAATTTCAAAGTTTTGGGACAAAAAATTGGCTAAATGATAAATAATATTCTGTAATAATTTATTTGCAGTAATTTCTCTATCAGTTTTTTGCCTCCAGATGTGCTCACTGCTTTTCAAATACGAGTCATTCTGAATGCTTCTTCATTCTCAATATAAACCAGCTTTCTCACTCATTAGGGAATCAGCTACAGCTCTGTTCATCATTCTAGGCACATAGAAATTATTTCATTTTTACAGCTTTCTACTCATTATTTGAACCCTGTGAATTTGTAGAGTAGCTTATATAATATTAGAACCATTTTTTACAAATAGTTTTTATTAATGAAAATAATGATTCCAAACTTATGATCGGTGGTGTAGATTCCAGACATGATGAGATCTGCCAAAGCCTATATCATTCCTAAAATGAATGCTTAAAAACAGAAATGTTCATTAGTGGTTCTTGACTTGAATGTATGATTTGTGGATAAACCTTTAATTGATATAGAACCTTTGTTCATCTGGAGGTTCCTTAAAGGGGAATTTCAACCGATTTTTCAAAAGCTCTGCAAAATTCAAACCCTGAGATGTAAACAAAGTCATTCAGAGTGGTTTGATGTGAAATGGTTCATTGTAAATAAAGCTACAGACTCAGATTTCTTCACAGTGGTGGTGATAGGAACCAGGGGTCACCATGACTACAACACAAATATAGCCTTTTTTTTTACAATCCAAAACCACCAGTGAACCTATACACATCTTCTGAGTTTTCATATGTAATGCTGATGATGGTAAAATAGTGATAAATCTGAAGAAATATGTTTTATTTGAGGACTATTTTTGCCTTACGACGCCACACATGTACCCCTCCGCCATGAATGGATTACAATAAATGGACTTTTTAGGCCAAAACATTTATCACAAAACTATTGTAAAACAACGTCTCAGGCATCAGGCAGCACATTCGTAATCACTTTGTGTAATAACTTTCTACTCGGTCAGTTTCTCTAGAATGGAGCAAATTAGGTCAAACTACTCTGAATGAATCTGTTGACATCTCAACCATTTAATTATGTGGAAATTGTGAAAAGTTGGTGGCGTTCTCCTTTAAATTGAAAGAGATTGGCCTCTTGTCTGCAAACAACAAACCACCCGCCCCCAAACCCCATGCATCTTCCCCTGAAAAGCGATAGATGAGTTTGTCTTATTGGTTTAGGATGGGTAAAGGTGGAATTAGCAATCCTCTGGAATAAAAAGTCATTGGAATTTGTGGAAATGTGCTGCAAATATGTCATCATTTTCTTCTACTAAATGAAATGATGAATAGAGGTGGAATATGCTTGCCTTCTTTCTTCATTTAGGCTGTTTGCAGCTGGTCTCACCACTCTGAAACTCAACTGCGTCGAGAAGTAAATGGAAAATTGGGGTCGTTGGTTGGGTTTATGAAGTTAATATGTTCCCACTTACTCTGAGACTCTGAGCAACATATCCTGAGATCCAGCCTTTTTTTTCTCTCTGTTCCTACCAAGGCAGAGTAGGAATCCACATACTGATTCGGAATGATCTTCCCATAGCCTTAGAAATCAGGCAGGCATAGCAGCTAGTTCAAATTCCTGATAGCAGCTGCAGCCTAATTCAGAATTTTCCAGGACAGCACAAATCAAAGCTAGTTTCAAACTTAAAAGTGAAGATACAGTCATGTGAAGCCTGACTGAATTAAGTCAAGTGATATCTAATTATAGTTCAGTGTATGGCATTTTTCCACTGCACACTCAAAAGCAAGAACTGACCCAAACAGGAACTAACAGAATTGGCTCTAGTTCATTTTCCACCTGGCAGATAGATGTCAGATAGATGACCTTGGTGACTTGATCCTCACCTGGAAGTTTTAATCAGGCTTGAAATTTTGACCCGAAAATTTTCAGAGACCTGATACACAGCATGACCTCTTAAGTCCGAACCTGATCCGATCCCAGCAAAAGTCTGTCAGAACTGGCCCCACCCGAACCACGTCACCAAGTTTCGAATCCGAAGCTGACAAATGTTTGTCCGAAACTGACAACCCAAGCAATCACCCCTCAAAGTGTCAAATAAAACCTGATATTTCTTAATGATAGCAGCTGTTAAATTACAGTGTAGTGACACCATCACGGACAAATTAAATAAAAATAATGATGTAATAAAATAATCAGCAGTGCAAAATTAGGTTTAAGTTTATTCATCAAGCAATGCTTTTGAGCACCAACACTGCTGCTCAGATATTAGCCTTCAGCTGTTTAATCCTGAAGCTTTGTTTCTGTACACAGAACATGTTACATACAGTTGTATGCAAAAGTTTAGGCACCCTTGCTCAAATGACATGTTTTGTTGATATTCTAAATGAAATTAAGTGAACACCCTCTCTACAGAGAACACACTTCTGCACAATTTAATGCACAATTACTGTTTATTTGGTGAAGATGGGAGAAAGTGAAACATAAAATGTAGCCTTTGCAAAAGTTATGGCATGTTTTATATTTTGGGTTTTTTTTCAATAAACTCCTCATTTAATAAATGCCTTATTTAATTTGTTTCCCTATGAGTTCAATTATTTTCACTTACTAAATCAGTAAGACCTATAATTTGACCAGGGGGTGTTCAAACTTTATCATACAACTGTATAACATATGAAACAGACAATAGAAAATTACAGTATAAACAAATTGAAAGTCCTTTTGGCTGCACTAATCTGTCTTTTCTGAATCGATTTGAGTGAGAGACTCCAGCATTAAAACTAGATTAAATGCAGGGTAAAATCTGTTTGGTTCTCGGTTTGGTTGGCTGAATGTAAAATTTGAACTGGACAAATATTTTAAACTCTCCTGGGAAGAGCAAAGAACTTCAGCTGCAGAGAACCCCCCCAAGTACCATAAGGTCTTGTTAGTACCGATCTTGAACAGGTATCAGTGAATGCAAAACTCAAACCTTTGGTACTGAGCTGATGGTGGATGAAAGAAAGGTGCAGTTCTGGTTCTCTTGTGCTAAAGGTTCTACTTTGTGCAGTGGAAAAACACTCTACGTGTACAGTCAGGTCCATTAATATTTGTACGATGACAAAGTAAATGTTTTTTTAGCTGTCTCCCACAGCATACTGTAGTTGAAACTGGATAATGAATAGGAACCCAAAGTGCAGCCTCTGAGCTCTCATTACAATGGTCATTACATGGTCATTACAACTATTTTCATACTTACTCCCCACACCCCAATTGCAGGGATTCTAAAGTAATTGGACAATTGGTTACTCAGCTGTTCCGTGGCCAAGTGTGTGCACTGTGAAAGCAACCCAAGACTTTTTTTAAGACAAACATGTGGAATGTTCTGCAATGGCCAAGTCATCTGACCTCAATCTGAGCATGTGTTTAACTTACTGAAAGTAAAACTGAGGGTAGAACGGCGCAAGAACAAGCAGGAACTGAAGACAGCTGCAGTAAAGACCTGGCAGAGCAGCACCAGGGAAGAACCCCAGTGTCTGGTGATGACTGTGGGTTCCAGACTTCAGGCAGTCATTGATGGTAAAGGATTTGAAACCAAGTATTAACAATGACCGATTGTTAGTTTGTCCAGCTACTTTCACGCCCCTAAACATGGGGGTCTGTGTATGAAAATGGTTGTAATTCCTAATTATTCACCTAATTTTGATGTAAATACTCTCAAATTAAAGCTGAAAGTAGAAATCTTCATATTACATATACAACTTTGTCAAAGTACAAATATTAATAGACCTGACTGTAGATTGGCATGTTATAGTCACCACACCAGACAGTACACAGGAACAAAATCAGCTGGCCCCAATGATGTTTTGCGAATAAGGACCACTGGTAAACAAACCCAGACAGATTCCAGTTGTTGTTATTATTTTTTTGTTTACAAAAATGTCATTACTTTTTGTTTCCCAACTCCAATAAAATCCTTTCCCCATTTCTTTTGTTTCCATGACGACTTTATTGACTTTTCATTGTTTTTTTATTTTTATTTTCAAGTCTTTTTTTGTCCTTGCGTCAGGGAAGTCTATCTGTGGTTTATTAACATATATTTTTATATATTCATATATAATTAATACATATATTAACTTATAAGTTGTGGCTGGGGCGAGGGTTCGTCTCTTGCCCTGGGTAACACCTCGGCCACAATGCTTCACAGTATTAATGCGCAAAAGAATGAGATGGATACATACAGGAAGTAAAGAGAGAGGTGGGCGGGGAGGAGGGGCGGCGATGCACGTCGCCATGGAGACCGAGAAGAGAGTCAAAAAAATAGAAACCTTTTAAAACTCACGCCACCTACAGCACCCTCCCGCTTTCTCTTTCTCTCTGTCTCTCTTTCTCTCTCTCTCTCTCTCTCTCTCTGTCTCTCTGTCTCTCTCTCGCTACCTTTCTCCCCATTTTCACTCCTCTTCACTTCTTCAGAAACATGGTTTAAAACTTGTTAAATTACGGTAGATGGGAAAAATCATGCATTTTCTTTATCTCTTTTTTTGGACTTTTTTCAACTTTTTCACTTTTTTTCAACATGGAAACTCAGAATCTTTGCCATCATCATCATCATCATCATCATAGTTGTAAAGATCTCACAACTCAGAGAGCTTTTTTCGTCCTCGGTCCTTCTTATTATTTATCTCCCTTTCCTTTCCGTCACCTTTACGGTTCTCGTTTCACTCTCTATCTCTTGCCCATATTCAGTCAGTTCCCCTCCCAGCCACTATGGGTCTCTGCAGCGCTCATACTGGCGTGGTACGACGGTTGGCTGCATTGCTGTGCGAGTCTTTCGCATCTTTCGGGATGCAGTTGTGGACCTGCAGGAAGTTATGGTCCCTCTCCGAGTTGTAGGTGGCCGTGGGCGTCCCGTGGGAGGCTTTAAGTGTGTCTCCGCCGCCGCGGCCTAGCGTATACATGGAGATGTCGGTGGACGGCAGTGCCCCGAAAGCCTTCAGGCCCACCGGTGAGGCGTCACGGGAGTGTGAGGGGTCTGTAGAACGGCTTGAGGAACGCGAGCGGCGCCGGTAGCGATAGCGGTAGCTGGGGATGCGCGTGATGGCCGAGCCTTGAAGGTAGTCCGCATTTCCGGCGGAGATGCCCCGGCCTGCGCGAGCGCTGGCCGCCCGGAGCTCGCGGTGCCGGTCAATGAACATGTGGACGGCCAGGACCCCCACCATTTCTGCCATGATGAACGACAGGGCGCCGAAGTAGAAGCTCCAGCCGTAAGAGTAGCTGTTCTTTTTGGAGTCGCTCTTGGATGGGTCGCCGGCGTTCGCTGATATGTACACAATCATCCCGATGATGTTGCTCAGGCCTGGGGTGAAAGAACGAGAAAGAGAGAGAATGTGTTTGAGAGAGAGAGGGATACTGGTGGCAGGGTCAGGTTGCAAACTGACAGCATCAGCTATGGTGGCTAACACCTGTTAGTGGGTTAGCACATATGCAAACCATGCATTTATGAAGTATCTTTTACACTCATGATACATAATACAAGGCACTGATCTACAGTCAGGTAGGAAGCTAAATGGATAAGGCTTGAGATAATAAATATGTCTAAAGTGTGCTTTGCAGCAGAATCTGTACAGTTCAGGAGAATGAAAGATTGTTTGAGAGCAGGCAGGCCAGTCAGCAGTGGTCACACTGTGCTACTCTGTGAGGCTGCTGCGTTTCGTATAAATCTAAAAAAATGATAAAAGATTGCGATATGAATGTGATCTAACATTCTTCAGATGCTATAAATGTGTGCATGGACAAATTCTTTAGATAGTACAGATTTGGCTATTGAAAAAGGCCTCAAGATCTATTGACTTGGCCTTTAAAAAGGCCTTCAGACGCTATGGATATGGCCAATAAATAAGTCTTCACATGCTATGAATATAACCATTGAAAAAGTCTTCAGATGTTAAAGATTTGGCCATTGAAAAAGTATTTAAATACTACAGATGCCTTTAATGTAATAGCCCTGCACAAACTATTGTCTGGTAGGTGTTACAGTAATTAAGTTCAGTTGCCAATGAGCAGAGAATTGCAGATTTGATCCCAGGTGGATTCCGTGGGGAACTGACTCTTGTATGTAGAGAGCTGTGCACTGTGTCCTTGAACAAACTGGTCTAAGGACACGACTCCTATCACCCCATTCTTCTCCACCTCAGATTTGGCCATTGAAAAAGCCTTCCAATGCTACAGTTTTGGCCATTGATAAAGTTTTAGACGCTATGAATTTGGCCATTTAATAAGATGCTACAGACTTGGCCACTGAAAAAGTCTTCAGATGCTACAGATTTGGTCATTGAAAAAGACTTCAGATGTTAAAGATTTGGCCATTGAAAAAATCTTTAAATGCTACAGATGCCTTTGATGTAATATCCCTGCCCAAACTATTGTCTGGTAGGTGCTACAGTAATTAAGTTCAGTTGGCAATGAGCAGAGAATTGCAGGTTTGATCCGAGGTGCATTCCATGGGGAACTGACTCTTGTATGTAGAGAACTGTCACTGTGTCCTTGAACAAACTGGTCCGAGGATACGACTCCTATCACCCCATTCTTCTCCCCAGCATGTGCTCATAAATAAGAACATGTTTGCAAAGCACCTTCCCTGGTAAAATGAAGGTCACTTGTTAGGCAAGCAGAAGAGAACTTTCTGCGTGCTCTTGTGGCACCGTGCTTATCTGGGATCAGAGCTGTGCTCATACACTTGTGTCCATCAAAGTGAAGTAAAAGCTCCAGTCTGAAATCATCTATCAGGCCATTACTGCTTATAGATAAAGACTAATAACTTTCTCAGTGTTGTGTTTCATATAAACAAAGCTTTAGGCTTATTTGAATGGAAATAATCAGGCCTAACGTAACAGATATGGCAGTAATGTAATGTATCTTCCATTTACCACATATTATTAGCCCACAAATATGGCCTGACCGGGCTAGCTTGAAGTTAATATGCATAGTTTAACCCCTTAACAAGCCCAAGGTTTATTACACACTTCTATAACCTGAGAATAGCTCCATTAGTTTGCACTGAAGTCCCTGTAGTTACTGAATAATAAGGCTTTGAGTGAAATAAATCCGGCATGTTAAAAGTTAAACATAAATCAACATAAAGTTGGTAGTTATCAAGCTTTTTTTGTCATGGGTCTAATTACATAAGCTAACCATTAGCTAATAAATACATTTGTAGGCGATAGTTTTAGGCTGCACTCACAAAAGCAACATGGTGGTTAAAAAAAGAGTTAGCTGTAGCTGACCTTAGTGCTGTGGATAAATATCCTAGTTGCGATAGTGCTGTAAACCACATTTAGGATGGTTTAGCCTCTGCTGTATGCCTTTATCAATGGCTCAGCTGCTATCAATCAAAATGAAGTGGAGTTAAGGAGTCAACTCCGTCCACTCCAGCGGCAGGAGTCAAGAGTTGGAGTTGACCCTGTAGATCTAGAAGACCCGGAGTTCTACACCATGGCTACCAAAACAAGTTGCGGTCCTGCGCCCTCACACGTACAATTAAAAATTCAGGCCTCATGTTAAAAGACAAACCAGCCTATTCAAATATTAAATGTTTTTGGAAATAAAATTCATTTTTTAACCAAAAACATTGGTCAGATGTTTATGTATTTGTAGTTTAACTGTTAATCAGTTAATTGGTAAACGATTAACATTACTAATACTCACAAATCAAAAGTTAGGTAACATTTGGCTCTCTAGTCTCAATGGAAATGGACTGATACACTATATTGCCAAAAGTATTCGCTCGTCTGCCTTCACATGCATATGAACTTGAGTGACATCCCATTCTTAATCCATAGGGTATAATATGATGTTGGCCCACGCTTTGCAGCTATAACAGCTTCAACTCTTCTGGGAAGGCTTTCCACAAGGTTTAGGAGTGTGTTTATAGGAATTTTTGACCATTCTTCCAGAAGCGCATTTGTGAGGTCAGACACTGATGTTGGATGAGAAGACCTGGCTCACAGTCTCCGCTCTAATTCATCCCAAAGGTGTTCTATCGGGTTGAGGGCAGGCCAGTCAAATTCTTCCACACCAAACTTGCTCATCCATGTCTTTATGGACTTTGCTTTGTACACTGGTGCGCAGTCATGTTGGAACAGGAAGGGGCCAAACTGTTCCCACAAAGTTGGGAGCATGAAATTGTCCAAAATCTCTTGGTCTGCTGAAGCATTAATAGTTCCTTTCACTGGAACTAAGGGGCCGAGCCCAACTCCTGAAAAACAACCCCACACCATAATCCCCCTCCACCAAACTTTACACTCGGCACAATGCAGTCAGACAAGTACCGTTCTCCTGGCAACCGCCAAACCCAGATTCGTCCATCGAGTCGGAGAAGCGTGATTCGTCACTCCAGAGAAAACGTCTCCACTGCTCTAGAGTCCAGTGGCGGTGCTTTACACCACTGCATTCGATGCTTTGCATTGCGCTTGGTGATGTAAGGCTTGGATTCAGCTGCTTGGTCATGGAAACCCATTCCATGAAGCTCTCTACACACTATTCTTGAGCTAATCTGAAGACCACATGAAGTTTGGAGGTCTGTAGCGATTGACTATGCAGAAAGTTGGCGACCTCTGCCCACCATGTGCCTCAGCATCCGCTGACCCTGCTCTGTCATTTTACGTGGCCGACCACTTCGTGGCTGAGTTGCTGTCGTTTCCAATCACTTCCACTTTGTTATAATACCACTGACAGTTGACTGTGGAATATTTAGTAGCGAGGAAATTTCATGACTGGACTATCATGGTACCACGCTGGAATTCACTGAGCTCCCTGAGTGACCCATTCTTTCACAAATGTTTGTAGAAGCAGTCTGCATGCCTAGGTGCTTGGTTTTATACACCTGTGGCCATGGAAGTGATTGGAACACCTGAATTCAATGATTTGGATGGATGAGTGAATACTTTTGGCAATATAGTGTTTTTTTATATATAATCACATTAAATATTTCCCCCTTAACTCTGTAATCAGGTTAACTAGGACACCGTTGGCATAACATGTCTGACCCTGTGTTGAGCTGCTAATGAGCAATGAGAGGAGAAAGTGACCTTTCATTTCTCAAAAGGTAATGAACAGCACAACTGCAGCTCTCTGCATATCAAACATTTGCCACAATAAATAAATAGCATTTAAAAACACAATGAAAACACTTTTATAACTTAACTGCTCACCTATAAAGATGAGACTACAGTTCGCTTCTAGGTGTCAAATCATCCACATTTCCATCTAAATACATTCCATCATTTTTACTGACGTGAGAATGGCATAGTTCAACTGAGGAACCTCCCAAACAGACAGAATTGCATTTTATGGCTACTGTGAAAAAGACTTAAATCCTCTTTCATCAAACACTCACTTGTACACTACGTCAACTGTATTGTGCTGTTATTCAGTGCGTCAGCTGCTTTGTATTGTATTGTGAAGTGTATTATATTGCATTTGATGCATTTCTGAAGGCAGGATGTTGGATAGGGAGAGAAATGGTGTCAGGGACACTTTTTTTGAGCTGAATCCCAGTGGGAGTCTCTCAGCCTAGCAAAAAATAAACAGACTGGTGCTTATGACAGGCTCTATGTGGAGCACATACCGTACTGAAGTACAGTAGCATTATAAAGGCTCGTACCTGCTGTGAGCACACATGTGAAAAAGTCTAGGTGGGAATGGAGTTTATCAGAATGTGCTGAACAGGATCTAGCTGTCCTATCACACTGAGGCTGGTCTTCTCCCAGCTGGGGACATGGTGAGTTTAGTGAGAAAGGGACAGACTTCTGAATGCAGGAGTAGAATGGACAGGTCTGTGGTGGATAGCAGCATCAGAAATGAACAAACATGCGAGGGGAAAACCGTATGAATAAATGTTTAATGCTCTGTATGAATCCTGAAACCTGATTGGCTATCCGCACATGTCCAATGGGAAGTAGAGTTACAGCTACGCAGTCTGAGCCTCTGGAACTGTATACTCTATATGGCCAAAAGTATGTGGACAGACCTGCTAATTATTGTTCATCTCTTCTTTGTGTTACCACACTATGTGAGATGGATTAAATGTCAACTGTAATATTTCTTACTGCTAACTTGCCACGCTAGAATCTTTGATGTTTTCAGAGATTTAAGCTAGCAAAGCTAGCAGCCTGTTTCCATTTTAATTTTTATCATTACTGTTTTTCTCTTAGTACTGTTTTGTATTTATTTTTTCAAACTGAGTTGTTTTATTTCTTTATTTTTATTACTAATGTGCCTAGTAGTTTTATTTGATTGTTTTGATTTGTTAATGTTATTTGTCTTAAAAAATGATGTTTCATAAGTTTGTCTTTTGTATTTTTCATTAATAATAACTTTTATGGTCTTTATTTATTTATTTATTTGTTTTCTGTGCTATATTTTAACTATCATAAAACTATATTTACTCTTTTAAAATTTTGCTTTTGTTTAATGCTCGGCTACAACGTAAATGAGGGTCACCCTCAGAGTACTTGGAGTTTAATTAAAGATTGGTTGGTTGATTGATTGATTGATTGATTGATTCATTCATTCATTCATTCATTGAACAATTCCCCTTATAGAAAAATCAAAACTGCCCCATCAATCAAATCCAGGGGGAAACTGACCCTTGCATAAAAATGTTAATTAATAACTGCGGTGTGGATAGTTGCCTAGCACCATAACTGGAACTCACAGGGACACACAAACCAAAAACGTTCACCTCACCTGCAGACACGAAGAGAATCCCTGCGCTGAGGATGATGTTGTGACGGGACTTGTAGAACTCGCTGGCGGCGATACACAGACCACCCATGAAGAGCAGGATCACACTGAGGATGGGGAATATACTGGATGCTCTCACAGCTCCTGCACAGACACACACACACACAGACTTGCCTTTACACAACATCAGGACATGAGATCAAACATCTAACTCAGATATATTATATCATTGCTGCTGTAATGTTGACACAGCATGAAGGGCAGCTGGCAACTACCTGTAACTAACAATGATAAATATTACTATTAGACATTCAACTTTACAACATATCATATTGTATCAAATGACTAGCATGTTAGCTTGAGGCTAGTATGTTAGCTTGAGATAATGTTAGCTAGTAGCTAGAACGTTAGATGAGGATACTATAAAGTGCTCTTTTTGTTACAAATATTGTACTTTTACACTGTTGAATGCACTAGTAACCTGAAAACAGGTATCCAAATAGTCATCAAAGTTTAAAGAATAAAATAGCAATTAGGATGTTCAATATGGGAATTTGCTTGTCTCTAATGTTACACATATTCATAAGAGCTATGAGATGTACGACCTCTGTGGCCTAAAAGATGGCAGTGTAGAGCCCTCGTCTTACATTCTGGTTAGTTTTCAATAAAATCCTACTGCAGCTGGCTAAGGGATACTGCATACTGTCAGAGAAGCTCTGTACTGCAGCAGCAGATAGTCTCTGATGAAGAGTAGCAGACAGTACAAAGTGCAGCTGTAGTACATAGTAAGCATCACAGACAAATGCAGACAAACATTAAGCTGAAGCTAAATTTACTCCCTTCTTCTGTATATTCAATGGAATACAACTTTCAACATCATTAAGTGAACGAATCAGCTAACTAACATTTCACAAACTCACTGTTTTCCAGCCACAATTGGACCAAACTATGTGGACACCAGGCCATCACACAAATATGAGCTTGCTGGACATCCCATTTGAAAGCCATGGGCATTAACATGGAGTTGTCCCTTTGCTGCTATAACAGCCTCCAATCTTTCTGGGGGGCTTTCCACAAGATTTTGAAGTGTGTCTGTGTCAGTTCAGTCAAAAGAGCATTTGTGAGGTCAGGCACTGATTTTGGATAAGAAGGCCTGGCTCGCAATTAATGTCCCAATTCATCCCAGAAGTGTTTAGTGAGTTTAAGTAAACCATGTCTTTATGGAGCTCACTGTGTACAGGGGCTCAGTCATACTGGAACAGGACTTCTTCCCCAGACTGTGGCCACAAAGTTAGAATCATATAATTGTCTGAAATGTTTTTGTATCTGGCAGCATTAACATCACCTTTCACTGCAACTAATGGGCCTAAACTCTTAACATCAGACCCAGACCATTATCCCTCCTCCACCAAATTTTACTGTTGGCGCTATGCGTTACAGTACGTAGTGTTCTCCTGTGATTCTGTCATGTCTTGCTGGTTAGCATCTCTCTTAAACATTTACTGGTGTCTGCATAAAATTCTGTTTCCTGCATACACAGACACCAATACTCATTCACACAAACGAGCACACACACGCACACACACACACCTCCTCAGCACTTTCTGTGACTTCTAAAGTGCTGACGACAGAATGGACACAAACTTCTGAGGCCCCCTCCCCCCTTATCAAATGCAACGACACTCCTTTCTGTCCTCTAAATACCTCTCTATCTCCCTACAGAATCTTCCTCTATCGCTCTATCCTTTATCAAAGTATCTCTCCTTCAGTGAAGCCTCATGCTCTCTCTCTCTCTTTCTCTCTCTCTCTTTCTCTCTCTCTCTGTCTCTCTCTCTGTGTTAGTCTCTTTGTCTCCCTCTCCTGTAATCTGTTCATCAATCAGCTGTCTGTCTTATCTGCTATTGCAGGGGTTCAGTATTCTAGCCCCTCAAAACTGCCCTCCAATAGGTTAACAGTGCATGTGTGTGCGTGTGTGTGTTTGTGTATGTGAGCATTTGATTCTAATTCTTTAGGAAATGATTCAATACATCAGGAAATATCAAATCAATATAATGATTCCATCTGATTAAATTCTTTAGCAGCATTGTGTGAGTATGTGTGTATACATAGGTGTATATGTGTATGTGTGAATGTGTATGTGAATGTGTGAATGTGTGTGTATGTGTGTTTGGCACAGCTTCGGGATAGATCCATTACAAATTACTAATTACTTCTCCCAAACTTCAGTGATTTTACTTTACTCATTACTTGCTGTAAAAGGTGTGATCACTACACAGTGGACCATTCAATTAGTTTAAACTGCAGCCCCACAGATAAAACATTGGAACATTAACCCTCTATTGCACGATGTTGCCTCAGGGCAACAAACACATTTTCCTCACTTTACAATAACATTATACATATTTAAAAACAACAGTAGGGTTAACAATAAAGGGAAGAGTTTGAGTAAGTCAATAAAAAGCATGTACTTGGTCATTCTGTCTCTAAGTGTGCACATTTAAACCTCTTTTTCAACATTCAGTTAAACTAAATTTTTGTGTTATGAGAATTTGCAGAAATATGTTTGTTGCCTAGAAGCAACATTGTGCGACAATGAAATGAATTTAACCAGTCACAAGCCAGGTCTCACCACTTCAGGGAACATGGCTCTATATCATTTCTTCCCATTGTCTCACAACGTTGCCTCAAGGCAACATACTCCAATATGACCCCTGCTCACATTTTTAAAAAATGTTTTTGAATGTAATAATCGGGACCGGTTATTAATAATATTTAATCATTTAATAATCAAGGACCATTTATGCAACAAAAGCGAATGCAAGAAAAGCAAATGCAAGAAAGTGTAAAGTTTTTAAATTGCTCTAATAATGCGTGAGGTATTACGCATTATGAGGCTTCTCAAGCTTGAGGTCACATTCACCAATGAAATAATACAGTCAGCGGACACATCAGGCATGCAAGCGAATTAAATACATGTACAAGCAGTGATAAGATATAATAAGCATATAGTACATAGAGTTGAATGCACAAGTTTGGATTACATGCTTTGTTGACACAGAGGATGTGTTATTTACACGTACAGTCATATGCAAAAGGCAAAGGTTTGAACACCCCATGGTCAAATTACATGTTGTGTTGGGGGTGAAATTTTCTGACATTGGTGAATATTTTGATTTGCCTCCATGACTGTTCTTTTAGAACTCATTCAATGCATTTGATGCATTCAATTTGATTATATCTGACTATGATTCATAATTCACCATGATTCCACTGACTGCAATTTGATTCCTTTGATAGAGATTCAGTTCCTTTTAGAGGAACTAAGCTCACCTGACAAATATTAGTCACCTTGCGTGTTTAAGGTGGTAGTAACTTCAGGCTCCCACAGATGGTGTTGCATGAGGATGGTCAGGCTATGAGTGCCTTCAGGGTGTGCGATGGGATTCATAGATTGAGAGGAGGTGGCACAGTGCAGTGAATGTCTTGCTTTATGTGTGGAAAAGGGGTCGCAAAGCAGATGTTAATGATTGTCAAAAAGGCATGTTTTCATTTGGGCAGACCAAAGGCCACAATGTAGAGAAAGTGGCTAAATTTGCAGGTATAACGAATTGTATGGTCATACGGGGCTACCAGCAGTTGCAAAAATCACAGTCTACAGGAAATTCTCGTCAGAATTGTGCCCGAAAGATGAATCTGATGGATGGGACTGCTGGTGTGTTTCACGGCTAGTGAATAAAAATCGCTTCGATTCCAAGCAAGAATTGCTTCTAGAAGTCAACACAGGTCCTTCACAACCAATTTCTGCAAAAACACTCCATAACATCACAACATCCCCAGATTTGAATCCTCTTGAAAATCTGTAGGACTACCTGGAACATTGAGTAAGATGCCAGGGAAGCTATCCACCAAATCTGGGTGAAATGCACAATTCTTTGAAGCAAGAGTGGCTGAACAGTGATGTCACTTACATCCAGAAACTTGTCCAGTCCATGCCAAATTGAATCGCAGCTGTTATTCGTGCTTGTGGTGGTATTACACGCTATTAGATACGTTTCAGTCGCAGGTGAAGGGGGGTCTCTGACTTCGCACAGTTCTGTACTATATTGGTTATTAGTTTATTTGATTAGAATGGATCTCAGATTCATATTAATCCAATAGTTTTCTTCAGGTTAATGGGACACAATGCACTTTTACACCCATAATGCGTGTGTAGGAGTGTTTTGGTGAAGAGGGCAGGGACGGTGAGAGAAACAGTTGAAAAACTTTCCTCTAACTAGTCTTAAAACTTCTGTTCTGTTTTGTCTTTCTTCACTTTGAAATTTTCTCCAGTCAGCATCATTTTACCTCCAGAAAGCCCATAACCTTGCTACCATCACCCTCCTTCTGTTTCATTCCTTCACTCCCGCTCTCTCTTTCTCTCCCTCTCTCGCGTGTCAAAGCTCCAGGTGGTGGGCTTGATTAAATATTAAGGTGACCTCAGCCCTGGCCCTGTTTCCCTCTCTCTCTCTCTCTCTCTCTCTCTCTCCCCCATCTTTCTCTTTAGCCCTCCTTCATTGATGCAGTCAGGTTGTATTATCTGTGAGATGCTAAGCAGCCCACACTTCACCTTTTTATCAGACTCAGCGCAAATCAGCCCCCCACACCCACCCTACACTGATCGTGAAACTGCTACACACACACATAAATACGGTCAGCACACACCTGCAAGGCATCCAGCGATGCTATAATACACATGCACGACTTTGTAGCATGATGTTTAGGACCCTACATAGTCTCATAAGAAGCTGGAGGAGGGGGTGAAGATATGGAGACAGAGAGAGAGAGAATTTAATTCGCTATTCTTCTGTTTTTTGACCATTTGCGAGTGAAATTTAGACTGCTTACACCTCTAAATGAGCACAGGTGCGGCGCAAAATGTGCCTCGATGCGATCGCGACATGCACTTAATGTGCCTGAATTTAAAGCTGCACTATGTAAGTGTGGCATGCGCCCGTACCCCAGGCCCCGATGATGACCAGGAGAGCTGGCAGAAAGGTGGGGCCCGAACCCCAAACGAGGACTAAGCGTGGCGAGAATGACGGAGACAAGAGAACCATGAGTGAGTGGGGGACGGCGTGTGAGTCCCTAGCCCGTCTTCCTAGGCA